CATCATGCTGCTAAAGGTCCCTTCCCCGCATCTCCCCGCCCCCAGTGACCTCACACTGCTGCAGGTACCACCCCCATCCCATCCCCCACCCCCAGTGACCTCACACTACTGCAGGTACCACCCCATCCCATCCTTGCTCTGGTTCCTCACACTGCTGCAGGTACCACCCCATCCCATCCCCCACCCCCAGTGACCTCACACTGCTGCAGGTACCGCCCCCATCCCATCCCCCACCCCTAGTGACCTCACACTGCTGCAGGTACCGCCCCATCCCATCCCCCACCCCCAGTGACCTCACACTACTGCAGGTACCACCCCATCCCATCCTTGCTCTGGTTCCATAGTTTTGTGGTTTTGCTAGGCATGATGGAGAGCTCTTTCTTCTTGCGTGTATCCCCGGTACTGCTCTTTGTTTCTCTGATGTCACAGCTGTCTCCACCTGCGAAGCTGAATCAATTTGTGAAAACCATCCCGCTGCCCTCAGCCTCTAAACCGGTAAAGCGTGGTGAGATATGCAGTACGGCTGGTTGGGGCCGCACTATCGCCACGGATCCGTCATCTTTGGCCAGCAAGCTCCAGGAGGTGAATGTGACAGTGATGGACGATGCCAAGTGCAAGTATCCGGACTACAACAAGGAGACCATGCTGTGTCTGGGGGACCCACGGGAGGGCAAAGATTCTGCAAGGGTAAATCTGTTCCTGGATCGATGCTCCTTTTAGAAATCCCTGTTGTTACTGAACATATCACGCTGGGGGAGGGGGAGAAAAATGACCAGGGTGCATCAGGGGTGACCCTGAGACTCGCCCTCCCTGAGGTGATGCTGGGCCGAGCCTCAGTGGGAAATGGCTTCCTGAGCTGCTCTGCATCTGTGGCCTGTTTTGTTCTGCAGGGCGACTCCGGCGGACCCCTGGTGTGCGGGGGTAAAGCCCAGGGTGTTGTCTCCTGGGGGCCTGACACCCCCCCTGGTGTGTACACGAGAATCACCACTTACAGCAAATGGATCCAGGATACAATGAGCAACCCACCACCCTGGGCCCCACCAGAGGTCCTGGCATAGACCGGCGCTGCCTCACTCCTGAGCTTTTCAAAGGCCCAGATGTGGGGCCTGTTTCGCTTTGGGGCTGAGCCCCCCATTTCCCAACCTCAGGCTCCTCCCCTTCAAGATGGAGTCCTCCCCCCCAGCCATGATTCTGCTCAAGTAGCACCCAACCCCTCAGCACCAAGGCAGGGGACTTCAGAGCCCGGTTCATGGCCAGCTCTTGGCTAGAGAACGGTAGGGTCATGTGAGTTAGAAATCAAACCCTAGGGTAAACCCGACAGGTTGTTGCTCTCCCTTGTGTGAGCCAGGCGAGTGACAGCTAGTGGGAGCTCCTCATCATAACGTCCACCTGCATGTTCCCTACGTTCTGGTCCAGATCAAACATCGGCTCTCAACTTCTCCTACCCATCCACCCTGCCCGGCTGCATTTCTCTGCCTGCTCGGTAGCCAGCAAGTAATAAAGTCAAGTTGCAATAGAAAATGGCTCCTTACTGAAGCATCTACCTAGAGCTTTGCCATCCAGAGCAGCTGCTGGACCAGCCCAGAAGGGAAAGGACGTTACGGGGAGGCTGGGCTGGTGGTTAATGCTCTGGGCCCCTGGACTTCTGGGTTCAGGGATTTCGTGCACAAGGAGGATCTGAGGGTGTGGGTGGGAACAGAACCCCTTGAGGCAGGAGGTGTCTACACAGGCTGAGAACAGCCTCTCTCCAGCCTCTTTGGACCCCCCCCCTCAGGAAGTTGAAGGCTGCTCTCAAATCCCCCCTCACTCTTCTCTTCTGCAGACTGAACAAGCCCCAATCCCTCAGCCTCTCCTCATAAGATATTAAGTATTTTCTGTCTCTCCTTAGCAAGTCTTGAAACAGTGGGTTATCTGCCATATGCGTGGTCACAATATCTAACCCATATTGCACTGCACAGTCTGGAAACACAATTCCCTTTGGAGTAACCCAGCTAGTTACAGAAACATTAGTAAAGTTATATGAAGGTTAGGAGAAGAATTTAGGTGAGAGGGAGAGATACAGAGAAGGGGAGGAAGGGGGTAGGGAAGGGAGTTTCAGGTGATCCACACATTCAAGAGGAGTGCTCAGAAAATTCCAGGAATGCATGTCATATCTCTAAGGGTATGTCTACACTAGCCCCCTAGTTCAAACTAGGGAGGCTAATGTAGGCATTCGAAGTTGCAAATGAAGCCTGGGATTTAAATATCCCGGGCTTCATTTGCATCTTACCGGGCGCCACCATTTTTAAATGTCCCTTAGTCCTAACTCCGTGCCCGCGGCTACCCGCGGCACGGAGTAGGTAGTTCAAATTAGGATCTCTAATTCGAACTACCGTTACTCCTCATGGAACTGTTACTCTACACAGCATGATTATTTCGGAATAAGCTCTTCCGGAAGAACTGTGTCCAGTTCTGGGCGCCACATTTCAAGAAAGATGTGGAGAAATTGGAAAGGGTGCAGAGAAGAGCGACAAGAATGATTAAAGGTCTAGAGAACATGACCTATGAAGCCAGGCTTCATGAACTGGGCTTGTTTAGTTTGGAAAAAAGAAGATGAAGGGGGGACATGATAGCGGTTTTCAAATATCTAAAAGGGTGTCACAAGGAGGAAGAAGAAAATTTGTTCCTCTTGGTTTCTGAGGACAGGACAAGGAGTAATGGGCTTAAAGTGCAGCAGGGGAGGTTTAGATTGGACATTAGGAAAAAATTCCTAACTGTCAGGGTGGTCAAATATTGGAATAAATTGCCAAGGGAGGTGGTGGAATCTCCCTCTCTGGAGATATTTAAGAACAGGTTAGATAGACATCTGTCAGGGATGGTGTAGGTGGAGCTTGGTCCTGCCTTGAGGGCGGGGGGCTGGACTCGATGACCTCTTGAGGTCCCTTCCAGTCCTATGGTTCTATAATTCTATGATAAATACTGCAAAATAGCTTTTTTCGAAATAGAGCGTCTACACGACAGGGGAACTTCAAAATGAGTGTGAGGCTCCAACGTGGACGTACTACCTTGACTTAGGGTGTTTTTCTGGGATACCAGAGCTCTTTCGCAAACAGGCTTCTTTCTCGTAGAATGAGACTTACCGATGCTGGGAAAACCTCTCTGTCCTTTCAATTTGATTTCGAAAGAACGCGATTGCACTGTGGCCGTAACTGGAGTTTTTTTCAGAAACCTAAGAGAGGTTTTCTAACAGAGGTAGGTTCAAGGGAAAAGGGGAAAGCAGAGGAGTAGATCCAGTCAGCTACTTGCCAGCGGAGGGGAGGGACGGGTTTTGTGGCATTTGGAGACACAAAGTCCATGATGGGTCAGGGAATCAAAGTCCACGGGACTCAGCAGATGGGACTTTCTTAGTCTCCAGAGTGACCAGAAGTAAAATTGCTTGACCAAACTCCTGCAAATTGTCAACTGAAAATGCAGAAACCTGGGGAAGAGAGGACGTATGATCAGTTTTCCCAGCAAAATGGTAGACATTGCCTGGGAAGCCCACTGGCCAACACCTTTGCTAGGTACCTGAGTTAACCCCTTGGTCACTGGGTGTTGGTCAATGAGTGACAACAATAGGATGCACCTGCAATACGATTGCTTCTCAACACACCTATCACAAGAGAGACAGACCACACACCTGTAGCAGTAAGTTTACTTTCCTGCTGGAACTTATACAACTTACACAGTGTGTAAGTCCCTTACAGAAATCGGAGGCAGTTTCTTGTCATTTCAGCCAGAAAGGACATTGTCTCGACGACTTGATTACCTGCATCCTGCTTCAAAAGCCTTTTAAGACCATGCTTGAAAGAGAATCCTCTGAACTGTTATTCATGCTAAAATTTGACACTTTATGCCGGGGTCTTAACAAAGACTCTAGTTATCTTACCCATTACAAAGATAGCTTCCCCAATTATCACCTCTAATACCATTAGCTCACAGACATTTACCTCCCCCCCCGCATCCCCCTTCTGTTCTGAAATTTGATTTGTCCTTTTCATCTGTGTTCATTTTTTTAATTGTATCCTTTGGTATATATGGTTGTGACAATTTTCTTCCACTATTTGATCTGAGGAAGTGTGTCTGGCCCACGGAAGCTCATCACCTAATAAACCATCTTGTTAGTCTTTAAAGTGCTACATAGTCCTGTCTTTTGTTCCTTACAGAAATGTTTGCAAAAGGTCTCCACAAAAAAGACCTCTCTTGGATCCAAATAAGTCACATTCACGAGGTTTTGAAACTGCAACATAGAGACACAATCTCGTGGAAAGGTTCACAAAGTTATTTCAGAATAGCGTCCGTTATACCGAAATAACGCTGCGATGTAGACGCAGCCTTAGTGAGAGGAAGGGGGAAAAGAAATGGCGTCTGGGTAGGTAAAAACCCATGGTATGGTTCTTTGAGGTCTCAGTAGGCTGAGAACGGAGTTAAGAAGGGAACACCCAAGACGGTGATGAAAGGAAGACGAGACGATACAATCTCTGCTGTCGACTCTCACCACTTCCTCTGACCTCCCGCTAACCCCGGAGGAGGGAAGGGTCTATTTAGAGGGGCTGGGCCAAATATCTCTGGACCCTTCCGGACTTCGATATCTTTTGTGATGCACTCGGCAACTACTTCTGTCCCACACGGTGACCTTTACCTCCAGGGTCATGGGCACAGCCAGATCTGGGCTTACTGCTACTTCCTTGCACACCAGTAGATGGTGGTGGTGCACCAAAAAACCCCTTGAGCCTTTTCTTATTCCTGTGTTTCCTTCAGTCCATCTGTGTCAGCCCAGCCTAGTCGGCTGGAATTCCCCCCGCTTTGAAACTAACTCCACACGGTGCCTCTCGGGATATTTCCTGTGGATATCCACAATCCTTCATCTCACGTCTACATACATGGCCGGGACTGGTGATCTGCAACCAATGGGAGGCGCAGTTAAATACGGTCGTGTGGAGACCCACCAGGGGCTAACCCTGCCAGACCCAATCCAACTCACAGGCTGATGTTGGCTGAGCCCTTGGCTAGTGTATCCTAAACATATTTATGTCCCTGAACTTCTAAAAAATATTCCTAAAAAAAATCTTTGTTCTGCTACAGCCCGTGCAAACCTGGTCTTTATGGCTTCCTCGGAGCCTGTGTGTTCTTCAGCTGATCAGGGTGGGGGGTTATTTTAAAAGAGGTGTCTCCTTTTTGTAAATAATCAAGTTTCCCCTTTAATGTTTTTTTAAAAATACCCGTTTTTGGTATCAGCTGCGTTCTTAATGTCCTCCGATATAAAAACTGCTCCTGCCGGTTCTTTCAAACTTTTATTGTCCACAATGAGGAAAAGGACTTTCATGCTGTAAAAAGTTAACAGCTAGTGTCATGTTGTGGTGTGTGGCCTTACAGAAGGGTTGTGTGTTTAGGACTGGGTTTGTCGAGCTATAGCTTTATTTTTGAAGAGGGGCATTTGGTTGAAAAACATTATAATTTCTTTACAGACGTTTTCTTTGGAGCACATACAACGACCGTTGTTAGAAGCTGTGTCTTTGTGACCGCAGTTAGCCAAAAAAATTAAGAAACGCCCTTATCTTCAGAACGGTTTGATTTTATCTTCTTCCTTAACACAGTTGTCTACGAGGTCTATAATTGTCTTGCTAGGCAATTTCTCTCTTATAGTTAAATAACTCATGGAATGTTTATTTTATACAAAATCTGTACTAAATGGGCAAATATACAGGGAAATATTGTTATTTCTTAATAAGCAGCCTGTCTGTAAACAGGGGTTGAAATTGCAAAATTGCGACTGCACTAAATTAAAATCTTTGTTCTGTAAAACTTGGTAGCCCTGTAGGTATACAGATAATTTTTTATTGGAACACCTACACAAATTCCCCTCAATTGACAGCTTTCATATTCTACTCATATTCTACTTCATATGATCTGTGTGTTCAGTAAAATTTGGCATGGCAATTTACAGCTAAATTTAAAATTGGAATTCTCTCCTTAATGAGTAGTAGTTTAAGGTGAGTGTATCTTAAACATGTGTATCTCATCAAACTTCTGCTCAATGCTCACAGAAATATACTTCTTGTGTTACAGCTGTGTTAATCTTGGAAGAGATGGCTCCTATTTTTAAATGATAAAGTTTTCCTTTCAATTGTTTTTGAAAAAGTAGCTAATTTTTCTAAAAGGCGTCTTTTTAGTGTCATGCAGTTTACAAAGTTGCTCCTATCGAATGTTGCTTGTCAGGGATGGGAAAAGGAGTTTTACAGTTTACAAAGATTAGCGGGTCTGTGTTTTTCAATGTGAGAGTGTTGGTCTTTAGCTTTATCTTAGAAGAGGCATCATTGGTAATCAAAGTCGTAGAATTGCTCTACAGAAGTTTTCCTTTAGCAAAAGTTGAAAAACGGAGTGAGGGTTTTACTGTAGAAAGGAGGCAGTTTGTGGCTGGAAGGTGTATTGTTGTATTCACTGTTAACCAAATAATTAAGAAACAAGATTATCTTAAAAGCTGTTAGAAGAGAGTTTTATCTATTTCCCTCACATCGTTGTCTTTGAGCAACAAAAAGGGAGGAGGACCCGTTGTTACCTAATTTCTCTCCTTAATTGTAAAAGAACTCTTTAAAGGATTATTTCCTATGAAAAGCCGTACGAAATAACTTTTAATGGGTAGTACTGTGATTCCTTCATAACTGACGTATCTGCAAACAGGTGTGGCTCATTTAATTTTAATTAGATGATTATAATTAAATTCTGCTCAGTAAAATCGGGCCACCCTTTAGATCAACAGCTATTTTTTTTAATGACACACAGATGCAAACTTCCCTCAGTGGGTACAGTTTTCGTGTTCTCCTAGTTGTGCACAAAACGGTTAAACGCTTAGGCCAGTGCGGAGGTGAGCGGTAGAAGTGGACCCTGGCGGACAGGTATGGGTGCTCACATCTCCCATTGGCCGGGAAGGATCTCCTGGTTCGTCAGTTCTGGTTCCTGAATGTTCTCCTGTCCCCGCACTTCAGGACCGTCTCCTCCAGCTGTGTGTTCCTCCCTTCCTTGAATCACTCCGGTGAGTGGACACTGGATATCAACCGGGTGTGATGCTTGCTTCCATGGTGCAGAGGGCCATCCCTGTGGCCCAGTACCTGTGCTCCCCCAGGCCCCTCGTCTGGTGGGCTACGTACTCCCACCCCCTGGGAGAATTTCTGCCTTGGGTTGCAGGAACCCTCAGCCATTTCCCCATCCCCTGCTTGCAGCTCTGAGACACACACTGGGCAGGAAGCAGGGAGCTGAGCCAAGCCAGCAGGTGACTCAACATCGCCCGCGTTCTCCACCAATGAGATTCTGGCACCGAGGAGACAGGTGAGCTCCAGATGGTTCCAGGTGTGCTGGGATCCAGATAGGATCCATGGAGCCCTGTTCCCGGATGCTCTTGGGACAGAGGGACTTTCCTCTAGAGGGAGGCTGTTTTTCAGACACCGCCCCCTTCCTCCTGCCCCCACAGGTCAGCAGCCTGTTGCTGAGGTTTCTGTGGGCACCTGGGTTGTGACAGCTCCCCAAGTGGGCAGCCCCCATGTGATCGCCGGTTTCCGGCTGGCTTTATCAATTCCCTGGGGCTGAGTCACAAGCCCTGTTGCTTTCCCCAGATGGTGACGATGCTGATCCTGATCCTGCTGCCTGTGGCCTTTCTCCTGCCCCCCGGCACTGGGGCTGGTGAGTGTGGGGAGGAACAGGGATTGTGGGGACAGAGTGGGGAGTTTTCTGAGTTGTGTGCAAATCCCAGCTCCTCCCCAGAGTCAGATGCAAGGGCTGGCCAGAAACAAAGGGGTTTTGATGGATGCAGCCCTGGCCTAATGGTTTCTGGCTGAGCCTGTGGCCTCGAAATCCTTTTTCTTAATCTCCCCTTGGTGGGAACCAGTTCTCCTGGGTGGTACCTCCAACCGAGGAGTGGAGTCTAGTGGTCAGAGCAGGGGGGTTGGAAGTCAGGACTCCTGGGTCTTTGTTCCTTCTCCCTTTGTCAATGTTGTGATTCTAAATGGAAGTTTTTGGGGCAAGACTCAGTGCCGAGCCGGGCACAAGGAAACCCTGATCTCTCTTGGCATCTGGGCAGCCTTGATCCAGATTGGTGGCCCCAGATGCAAATAGCAGCAGCAGATTTTCAAAACAGCCCCTCTGATACAGCAGCTGTCACTTGCAGGCTGTTTGTAGCATTAACCTTCTCCTAAGATCTATTGGGGTTTTTTTTCCCTAATGACTCATTCACTGCCCTGAATATCCCTTCCTCACCCCCTTATTAAATGGGTTCGTCATAATCACATAATAATAATCTTACTATGAAGAATATGGGGTGCAGGATCACAGACTTAGCCGGGCAGGTAATACTGAGGATCTCCCATAAACACTTGACTTACTGCCATGGGGGAGAGTCACAAATCAGAGAATCCTAGAACACGAGAACTGGAAGGGACCTCGAGAGGTCATCGAGTCCAGTCCCCTGCCCTCATGGCAGGACCAAGCATCATCTGGACCATCCCTGATAGGTGTCTCTCCAACTTGATCTTCAATATCTCCAGGGATGGAGATGCCACAACCTCCCTGGGCAATTTATTGCAGTGTTTAACCACCCGGACAGGTAGGAACTTTTTCCTAATGTCCAACCTAAACCTCCTTGCAGTTTAAGCCCATTACTTCTTGTCCAATCCTCATTGGCCAAGGAGAAAAATTTCTCCTCCTTCTCCTTGTAACACCCTTTTAGATACTTGAAAACCCCTATCACGTCCCCTCTCCGTCTTCTCCTTTCCAAACTAAACAAGCTCAATTCTTTCAGCCTTCCCTCATAACTCATGTTCTCCAGACCTCTCCTCATTCTTGTTGCTCTTCTCTGGACTTTCTCCAATTTCTCCACAGCTTTCGTGAAATTTGTTTCCCAGAGCTGGACACAACACTCCAGTTGAGGGTTAATTAGCACAGTGTAGAGCGGGAGAATGACTTCTCGAGTCTTGCTCACAACACTCCTGTTCATGCTGTGCAGATTCATGTTGGCTTTTTTTGCGACAGCATCACACTGTTGACTCCTATTTGACCTGTGGGCCATTCTGACCCCTCAATCCTTCTCTGCAGGACTCCTTCCTAGACAGCCGCTTCCCATTCTTTGTTTGTGAAAGGGATTGTTCATTTCACCTTCTTTCAGAGGGGTACCACAAGCTCTTTAACCACAAGTGAGACATTTTAAGCGGAGCTTGCCTTCTGAGGGATCATCTGAAAACTCATAATTTGCTGATCATCATTGTCCTGATAAAATATGCGTGGCGTCAAAAGTCATCAGATTCTACTGCATCTTCCCAGTCTGGGAAGCAGCCATTAGTCAACACCTCAATTTTCCATTGGACTAAATATTTGGGGGGCTAGGATTGGAAAGTCTTGTCTGGTCACTGTGCATGGATGGGGGCTGCAGGAGCTAATCTGGGGTGACAATGGTCCCCACACTGGTGACTCAACACAAAGCAATTACAGACCCAGGCGCAGTGTGTTAGACACTGATTTTCCACCCAGCGAGGTCAGAGCTGTAGACTTGCCCTCCAGCTCTACGGGGCACCCAGAGTAGGGAAGAGCTGTCTGGGAGGAAGGATTTCTGACATGGGGGTCTCCAGTAGAGCATTGCAGGGACTTGGATGGGGCTGCGGGGGCTCCCCTTAGGGATGAGGAGCTCAGTCCCAACCCAGAGAGGTTATGGAGCATTTTGTGTGAATGTGGTCTCCCCCTAGGCGAGATCATCGGGGGATGGCAAGCCAGGCCCCACTCCAGGCCCTACATGGCCTATCTGAAAATACAACATGGAAATCAGAGTTTCTCCTGTGGAGGGTTCCTGGTGGTGAAGAACTTTGTGCTGACGGCTGCTCACTGCCTGGGAGAGTAAGTGCCTCTGGGCTGGGACGTGAGGGTAGGTGGGATCAATGGGGGATCAGGATCTGGAAGCTCTGGTACCACCATGGGTGAGCAGCGGAGGGGCAGGGGTTGGCCAGGCTGGGGAGCAGAGCCCAGGGGTTTGATCTGCTCAGGAGGTGTCAGCGAGTTTCTAGGAGCCTCTGCAACCCACGGCCCAGCCCCAGCGCTGGGGAAATCAATGGGGGTGAGGCCAGTGAGCCCAGCTGGGGTCTGACCCCTTGCCCAGTGTGGGGCAGGGAGGGGTCACAGCCCCAGAGCAGGTCTGTGGGGTGCTGGGCTGGGGGGGATGTAGGCTTGGCTTGGAGCTGACCATGTGCAGAGTGTGATCTCGATCCCATGCCCAGGGCTTACCCTGGGATCTGAGCCAGGTCACTGTCCCCACTCCTGACCAATCCCGCATTGCATCTACCCTCAAGATGCTAATGGCCCATCCATGGGCTGCTCTCAACTTTTACAGCAACGTCACTGTCGTCCTGGGAGCTCACAACATCCACGAACAGGAACCAAGCCAGCAAGTGATCCCCGTGCGCCGGCAAATCCCCCACCCGCAATATGATAATACATCTTTTAACAATGACATCATGTTGCTGCAGG